AAAAATAGTTAGTTAATCATGGATAATCCACGGCTAGCCATGCATTAAAGGATTTTAATGCACGACGTAGAGGCGAAGAACCACCCGACGCGAAGCGGAGGGTGGTTGCCTCTACGTCGTGCATTAAAATCCTTTAATGCATGGCTAGCCGTGGATTATCCCGCTTATACCTCGGTTATTTGCCAAGTTAATAAGAAGTTAAAGCTGTAACTGATGTTTACAATGTAATTTTTTAACAGACGTGTAAAAATGACGGTTATTTTCTTAAGTTACGGCTTGTTAGTTCTAGCACTCCGTCCGCTTTAAATAAAGTAGAGCCATCGGATTGCTTTTATTTTATGAATTATCACATTTATTTAAATTCATTATTAAAAGAGAGAGACAGAGAACTGAAAGAGAAGGAGAAGAGAGAGAGAGAGAGAGAGAGAGAGAGAGAGAGAGAGAGAGAGAGAGAGAGAGAGAGAGAGAGGAGAGAGAGAGAGAGAGAGAGAAGAGAGAGAGAGAGAGAGAGAGAGAGAGAGAGAGAGAGAGAGAGAGAGATGAGAGAGAGATGAGAGAGAGAGAGAGAGAGAGAGAGAGAGAGAGAGAGAGAGAGAGAGAGAGAGAGAGAGAGAGAGAGAGAGAGAGAGAGAGATGCGTGCGCGAGTTACCTATGAGCGTCTCTTCTTTAAAGTCTACAGTCCCCTCGTTGCTTAAGCATAGGCCTATAGCTAACTTAATAATTCATGGATTTATTAAAATTATTTATGAATGATAGGCAACACTGACAGTGACAAGGCAATCTTTATTTGAACTAATCATGGCATTTATTTAAATGAATTAGCTGTATGTCAAACCAAACTTTTCTTACGCGGATGATGAACGCTGGTGTCTTTTCCATTTTTCCTGTAGCGCTTTAAAACTGATTTAAAGACGGCATTGCTTGACTAGAAGTCTTTATCCCTTATGATGTTGTATTTTGTAACGTGACGGTTTATACCTGCTCTGAGACACATCAAACTTGCAACACTGTATTCGCGTCCAGCGGTAGACTGAACAGAGGCATAAAACTCCCGCAATGTCTCATTTAAAAGAGAAGCAGAGTAACGTTAGGTCTCGAAATCACAATTGTTCTGTCTTTGGCGCAACAAGTCACTGAAAGTGTTAACTGCCCATTTAGTTGTCTTTTTCGTATTGACCTCAATCTTTGTCGTCTTCGATCTTATCTAGCTCTGTATTTTCCCTCAAAAAAAAAAAAAGCCTAAAACGTATCTAAGTAATATACAGTAGTAGGCTATTTCGTTGTCAGCCTGCCTCTCCAAATGCAAAACTGACATTAACAAAATGCAATAACAGCTGAAAAAGTACTTGGGTGTGTGTTTTATTTTATATTTACCGGTCAATGATGCAATCGCTGCTGTCTGTCCCATAGAAGAACAATGACAGCCAGGGTATGTTTTGGACTATTGGGGCTTACATGAACCACGTGACAGCCATCGCGGCGACATCAAAGAGCGTCGTAACTCTTTCTCTCTATGGCTCTGAGCCTACCTAAATAAACGTTTTCATATGTGTCTCTCTCTCACTCTTTTGCAAGTGTAACTCTGTTACTATGGTTACCAATGTTTATAGTAGCGGATTAATTTCGAACTGTAATCAAACTGACTGGAACTACCTGTGCATTAAACGGTTTTACTGCACACCTTCCAGCCAATCAGAATCGAGTATTTAAACAGGCCGTGGTATAATTTAATGTAAAATATTATCTTCTATTTTTAGTCTTAATTCCTCTAATCTCTACCAGTGGAGGAAGAACTTGCATCTTTTTACTAAAGTAAAATTAATAATATCATAATGAAAATGTTTTTAATTACATATGTACAGTACTTTTATACTATTTTTAAATAAGTAGTAAGCAAAATGTACTAAACGTGAAACATAGTGTTATTATAATTATATAAATTATTGGAATATTGCTTGATGTTGTAACGTAGCGTTATAGGCAGAATGAGCTTGTCTGTACACTGTCTACACCGGACGCGGCCGTTATTGCTCGCGTCGCAACAGCTGTTTACCCTAGACGCGAAAAAGGGCCCGTTACAAAGCAGAATGGGGCATCAGTTTACTGTCGGAGATTTGTCACTCGCGCAACGCATTTTAATCAATGTTTCATCAACCAATTGCCTGGATTTAATAAATAAGAAGTAAATATAGCAGACAATATAATCAGGACTTCTCAGCTGCGCGCTTTCCCCATCACAAGCTCACACAATACATGACAGAGGCTGGTAGCAGAGAAATCAATTCTGTGAATTACACTGCGCAAATCAAATGTAATAGGCTACTACCCACCGGATGAAGAAGGGTTGGCTCTCAACAGAACATAAAATATTCATTTTATTTTATTTTATTTTTCGTGTTCGCATTTATGAGGAAAAAACAACGGATGTGACAAGCTCTGAAAGCGGCACTAAAAGACTTTAAAACTTTCACAGAGACATCAAACAGAAAGCGCAAAGCCTCTCATTAAAGTGAATTTCGTTTTGTATTAATTGTATCTTAATTTTAATCAATGTTTCATCAACCAATTGCCTGGATTTAATAAATAAGAAGTAAATATAGCGGACAATAGATAATCTCGACACGGAGGCGCCGGCGCGGGAACTGCAACTCGTCTCATAAATGAACCGAAACTCAGCGTATAGACCTGAGAAATATATCTATATTGAAATGTCTACTTTTAAACAGAACAATTCAAAACGAAAGACAGACTGCTCTCTGCTGTAATTCGTATGAAATGTGCATTTCTCTCTGGCGTGTTCACTGAAGATCGCGAGTCAGCGTCGTCAACTTTGCAGCGACACTGACTGAAAACACTTGTTTATTAATAAACAATTAAAATGTATCCTTGCTATATTTGATGTATTCACAAATCATTACTTCTTTGTGACAGCTTTTATGTGCTTTATTGGGATCGCCGCACCCGCTTTTTTTTAAATAATCATTTATCGGCCATTATAAATGCCGATACCGATAGTTAGGAAATTGCCTTATATCGGTCGGGCTCTAGCAGAAACCAATGTGGTGTTGTTGCAAAGTGCCGGTCCGTGACAACACCACATTGGTTTCGGCTAGAGCCCGACCGATATATCGGCGGGCCGATATTAGGCATTTTCCTAACTATCGGTATGCCAGACGAGCAGAAAATGAAAATATAGCCTAAAACGGAGACATATTTTGAAACCGGAGAGGACCGCGGAAAAAAAAGAAGAAAAGCCGTACATACCTGCCTCAGAAGACGCATAGTCCAACCCGACTGCTTTGCCATAGAAACCGATGCAGATATTACGGAAAATGGAAGAGCTGCATGGACACAAAAATCGGATCTGAACAGTTGCGATACACAGTGTGGACATCAATAATTTTAGATCACATTCCAATCGGATACACAAATAATCGGATTTGTACTGACAGTCTGAACGAGGCCATAGCAACACAGCTATAAGTATTCCTAATATGTTGGAACTTTTATTGACAGTAGTCAACTTTTACCTGTTGAGCCTGGATTTGTGATGTTTGAGGTGGGGGAGGTGAGACACGCAAAAGGGGCGTTTGCAAAATATGCTGTATTTATGGAATTCTTTGGAATTATTGCATTCTTATTGTATCACATTGTATTATTTTACCCTTGTCACAGACCCAGACTTCCACTCTTAAAATACAGTATGAAAATCCATTTTAAAGTACATTATTAAATTATAAATCATTATTAAACGTTTCAGACTATGGTAATCTAAACAAAGAATGGGATAAACATAAACCAATTTGACACACTGATTTTTTTTTTTCAACCAAAATCATTAGTTAATATTGGTTTGTATTTCCATTAAGATGGTACATTTTATCACATTGTGCATAAAATAAAATAACATTAATAACAATAAATAATAACAATTACAATAAAAAATAATTAAAAATAATTAACAATAAATAAAAGTAGAAATAACAAAAATACAAATACAATAATGATTGTGTGTTAGGTATAAATGAGATATGCTCCGTTGTATATATTAATGTAAAAAATATATCAAATTAACTTTAGCAAAAAGTGTTTAAATACAATACAATACATGATTCCAGATGTTGAGAAGAAGAAAATAATTGATAGTCTATTTATATTATGAAATAATATTTTATGTATGTTTGTTTGTTTGTTTTTTTGCCAAAAATCTTACAATCTTTAAAGTTACTTTAATTTCCTATTATCACTTTAAAGCTGCTTTGAAACAATCTATATTGTTAAAAGCGCTATATAAATGAAGGTGACTTGACTTGTTTTTTTTTGTTTTGTTTTACGATAGTTGTTATTATTATTATTATTATTATTATTTATATTATTATTAAGACCAAACACCCATACAAATAAAATAAAAATTCCACCCGAAAAAAAGTAATTTTAGATCCAAGGCAATTCCCAGAATCCCAGGAGATGTGATCCATGCTTTTACTAAGATTGTTCTTCGTACCCCGACCCCATTAATCAATCCTAATATGTCGGTTTGCATGTTTGAATCAAGTCATATTCATTCATCTCTAATTCAGCCACCAATTTGTGTACCTTATACACTTCAAATTCAATTCCATTCCAGATGCATCTTGTTTTTCTCTGGTCCTTTCAGTCAGGCAGACAGACCTCATTCCCTTCCTGATATTGTTTCAGGATCAACACCATTTCATCTCCATTCTGTCACCCCTCCAGCTGTTGAGTGTAATTGATTAAAAAAAACCTCTATCCTCTCCCCACTGTGTTTCAGCTCTCTCTCTCTCTCTCCCTCCTTCTGTTTGGTCTGGGTGTCTGCAGATGAATAATAATGTTTTGCCAACCCTTCTCTCAGGCTGGTGATGTACATTGAAAGAGACGTCCGAAAGGCCACGCCAGGAAAAGAGCAACAAAGCGGCAATGAATACCTGTCAAAATGCCTGACCCTCTTCATCCGTCACACTGTGCACGAACTGCCAGCCATCCTGGGTAAATCAATCACAATACACCCCAAAAAGAGGGAAAAGGGAACGCAAAGAATTCACCCGAGATGGAACAGAGTGAAATGGGCAAAACAAAGAAGGGGCAATAAGATTGAACATCCAATTTGATTGGCCTCTCTTTAATTACCTTTCTGATTGAATACGTCAGCAGGCTCTCAGGTATCGACCTGTTCCTCCTTTTTCATTTGTGAATCAGTGCCGCTACACACCACCGCACCCCCATTAAACAGGTTCAAACCGGTTTAGTTCTTTATGCGGGTTTCGTCCCAACACTGAGACGCACCTGCTCACGCCCCTGGCCACCTACCCAGACTAAACATGATAGTTTGTTTGTGAATGGCTGATTTCTCACTGTCTCTGTTTATGTGGGCTCTCTTTAGATGACATCCTGTCCGTGTTAGGCAGCATTGTGGGAAGGAAGCACCCCTCTCCTACACAGTCCCGTCAGCTGAAGCAGAACCTCCCCATGATGGCTGTGGTGCTGCATCTGCTCACTTCACAGGTGTGTGTCTGTGTCAGGTCTTACTATATTTACCTATTTGCTAGTTATTTTGGGTTTTCGATCTCCTGGAGGATGGGACAACCTGAAAAAAAAAAAAAAAAAAACACTGCAGGGACCTACCTTGTGGTGCAATAGATAATACCTTTTTTCACATATAAACATGTTTAATGTCATTGTTAGAGTTTTGCTCAGAGGTTCACAATCTGTTTAGGCCAAGTACCCCTTTGGTTATATCAGAACTTCCTAGAACAGGGGTGTTCAAACTCTGTCCTGAAGGGCCACTGTCCTGCAGAGTTTAGCTCCAACTTGCCTCTACACTCCTGCATGGAAGTTTCTAGTATGACTAGTGAGACCTTGATTAGCTGGTTCAGGTGTGTTTAATTGGGATTAGCGCTGAATTCTGCTGGACAGTGACCCTCCAGGAGCTGGATTGGACACCCCTGTGCTAGAACATGTAAGCCCAGTTTCCTCTGTCTTTGTATGTTTTAGTTCAAACTTGAAATGTGTGATTTCTGGGCCACTTGTGCTTTTTTAAAAATTTTAAAAATAATGAAAACAGGTTTCTCAAATACTTCCCATCTGGCATTGGCCAAACAAACTGGTAGTCCTGCCCAAAATTAGTACTATTGTTTGAACAGGGAGTCTGGGACGGCCCATAATTTAAAATAGAATTTCTCTGAAATTAAAAATCTTTGGGAACTTTTGGGATATTGAGTACACAACTGCAGGAAATATACCACTCTGTGCAAGTGATTTTTGGATATTTAATTAATTCTTACATATTGTACCTTTAAATACAATATTACATTTAAATTGAACCAATGCTGAAGCTTCAAAATGTTTCATTGTTCCTATTTATTTATTTATACATTTTAAAACCTTGAAATACATGTGTGAATTTAAATATAATGTACACGTATAGTGTATGTGCATCAATACAGATGATAATTCAACACAGAAACAAATTATCGATGGATGTGCAATGTAAAATACCATGCATAATAATTATAATAATAATACCTTTTATTTATAGGCGCCTTTCAGGGCACTCAAGGACACCGTACAATATAAAACGAGGGAATAAATACAATCATGTCATTAAAAGCTATTCTAAACGGATACGTTTTTATCTGAACTTTAAAAATGGAAAAATTGAATCCATTTGATGAATGTGCAGTGGTAAAGCATTCCATAACTTAGGTGCCACACAACTAAAAGCTCTACCACCAAAGGAAATCAACTTGAAGTTTGGAACAGACAATAAGTCTGCAGAAGATGATCTCAAAGAATGCAGAGGAGTATACAAATGAAGAAGATCTGAAAGATAGTGAGGTTTGAAATTATGAAAAGCTTTATAAGTAAAGCCCCGTTCACACCGCCAGCGATTTTGTCACTACATGTCGCTAGTCTCTGTACTGTGAAGTCGCTTGTGGGCGTTCGTAGTGCTGTCGCTCTTATGTTATTGGTAGACTCCACGTCTGGCCATATATCTATACAAAATACCATCAGAAGTGACATATACAACTATATCATTTTAATTTGACTAGGAATTAGGCTCAAAAGAAACAGTATGCTGTTGGGAGAGTGTTTTTATATTACCACGGCAGTGTTAAGTGGATTAAATCATTTACTAGATTAACGATCGATCAATCAACTCATTCTGTCATAAATTACTAAAATGTCATTCGAATTTGACAAATAATAAATTTTTTTGTCCCTAATAGTCAACATAATGCAGGGGAAACTGTCAAATGATCTGCAGCAGTGCTAAACTTGCATCATAAAATTACAACACTCGAACTATAAATGTATATAAAACTGCTACTTGGGCGGAGTGATAACCGCAGCACCTGAGACGCGCTCTCTGCTCCTCACCACGGCGCATCTCAGGTGCTGCGGTTATCACTCCGCCCAAGTAGCAGTGCTTCGCCTTCAGAGAATATAGTTCCCAGTATTTATACGGTTAAAATATGTCTGTGTCTCATGTGACTTTGTTTTTTGTACACTCTGTGACTATACAAATCACAACATGTAAATAGGAAAATGTTTGCGTTATTTTGTCACTTATATGGATTAGTATGCTAGCTGCAACCATTTACATCCAGTCTTTGTGCTAAGCTAGGCTAGCGGTGGGTGCGTCAAACAGACTTATAGCACGCACGGAGATGAAAAAGGTATGTATGGACTTATCTAACTCTGGGGGATAAGGTGAATAGGCTAAAGTCCCAAAAAGTCGGAGTGTTCCTTTAACGGGGCTTAAGGAGTAAGATTTTGTAATGTACTCGATAACGAACAGGAAGCCAGTGCAGCAAATAATTGGAGTTATATGATCAAAGGTACGTGAGTGAGTAACAATCCTGGCTGCTGAGTTCTTAATTAACTGTAATCTGTGAAGTTGTTTTTCAGGAATACCAAATAAAAGAGAATTACAATAATCAATCTGAGATGTAACCAAAGCATGAATGAGTACTTCGGTACAATGTTGAGAAAGTGAAGAACGAAGTCTAGCAATATTACGTAAGTGAAAAAATGCAGTACGTGAAATATTATTATTATGGGAACTAAAAGAAAGCAAACCATCAAATATAACCCCAAGACTTTTCACCTGGGTGGAAAAGTTAACCGGGCAATTATCAATAAGGAAGGTGAAGGCTTGCGTTTTAGATAAAACAGACACAATAAGGAGGGCTTCGGTTTTACTGGTATTTAACTTAAAAAAATGATTAGTCATCTATATAGTAACATCCTGCAAACCTTTAGTGAGGTTAGAAGGAGGATGAGAAGCATTAGGCTAGGTCTTGTGGGTATGCACACTTGTGTGTCGTCAGCATAAAAATGAAAATTAATACCATAAGAATGAAAAATGTGACCAAGGGGTAAAATATAAATAATAAATAAAAGCGGACCCAACTCTGACCCTTGTGGAACACCGTGAGTGACTGAGACAGGCTCTGAATGACCAGTCTTAATCCGTACAAACTGTTTCCTTTCACATAAATAGGATGAAAACCAAAGTAGCACATTATTAGCTACTCCAATGCAATCCAATCATTCCAGTAATACTGAATGACTAATAGTATCAAAGGCAGCACTAATATCTAAAAGAATAAGAATAGACATGAAACCAGAATCAGCACCCAGATCATTTGTAACCTTAACAAGAGCTGTTTCTGTACTATGTTTGGGTCTAAAGCCCGACTGTCAGATGTGATTCAAGTTGAGTTGCTACTATTCTTTCAGGTATATTTGATATAAAAGGAAGATTAGAAATGGGCCTATAATTGTTTAGATCGTTAGGATCAGCACCAGGTTTTTTGAGAATTGGAGTGATAGAAGCCATTTTTAATGATGAAGGAACAGTAGCAGTAGATAATAAAGAACATACTATAGCTGTAATAATAGGAGAGATTGAATGAACAGTAGGTAAAGGATTGAGTGAGCAAGTAGAAGACTTTATGATCAGCTTAGTAATGGAATCAATTGAAGGCAGCTCAAAATTAGAGAAAGTACTTCCAGACCAAAAAATATGATTATATCCATTTTGATAATCACTAGACATTAAGTCAGAATTAAGTAGTTCTTGATTAGGGCTGGGTACCGAGTTCGGTACTTTTTAGGTACCGACCGAATTGCCTCGATACTACCGAGTATCGAAACATGTCTTGTTTTTCGGTACCTAAGTGGTTAATCTCGTCAACGTCAGTGAAACAATAAGCATGCAGCATGATTGGCTGTGGCGGAAAAACACTAGATTACGCGGCTGCCCAGAGACGCGGCTCGTCGCACGTGAGGCTGCAGTGTGTGTGTGTGTGTGTGTGTGTGTGTGTGTGTAAGCGTGCGTCCCAACCCAGATAGATAGAAAATATGTGGAAATGATCCAAAGTGTACCTATGTCATGTGCCAGACTCGATGCCAGATGCACGCGATGCAATATTTTCGACAAGATCATTGCTGCCAAGACCGGCAACACGGTAAATCTAGGCACTGAAGCGCACAAAATACACTTGAGAGTAATGGTGTTCACATCGAACGCGAATAGAGCGTCAAATACGCGTCTATCGCGTCTAGTTCGACGCTTGAATCTTCAGCTCGAGTTCAAATTTTTCAACTTGCGCGGAAGACGTTCGCGGCAAACGCGTCGCCCAATTCGCGTCATTCGCGACGCCCGGCGCGAATGATGCGTCTATTCGCGTCTTTGCATTGACTATGTATGTAATCTACACGCACAAATAATTAAATTCGTGTTCGGTGTGAACACACCATTAGTAAACACTTGTTCATTAATAAACAATTAAAATATCTCCTTGCTATTGTTTCCACATCCATAATCATTAGGCTACTTTTGCCAGTGCTTTGCTGCAAGCTTCACGTGCAGGTATATATCCCGCCCCCCAGTAGCCTATATTTAATTTAATTCACATTTATTTGTATAGCATTTTTCACAATACATATCGTTTCAAAGCAGCTTTACAGAAAATGCATGTCTAAATTACAATTTAGAGTGATCTGTTATCAGAGGTGACAGTGTAATGCATTTCAATTAATTTTCATTCAGTTTCATCGTTAATTAATGCATTAAGTTAAAGCAGAAACAATGAGCTCATTGAAGTAAAGAATACATGTTGTTAAATGATTAGGAAACATAGAAAACTTTAGCATTGGTGCTTTTTTACATACTCAAAATATGAGTGTAAAAAAGTCAACAAACTGAAAAAAAAATTAGGTAATGTTATATTGTTAAACCTGGTTACATAAAATTGGTATCGAAAAAAGTATCGTTCAGGAACCGGTATCGAAGTCAAGGTATCGGTATCGGTATCGGTACCGAACATTTTGTTACGATACCCAGCCCTATTCTTGATGTATACTGTCAATCTTAGATCTAAAAAAATTAGAAAAAGATACACATTAATCGGGAGAAAGTGAAACAGTATCGTAAGGTTTCAACATTTTGTTAACAGTACTGAATAAAGTCCTTGTATTACTTTGTCCATTGGCAA